AAAAAAAAATTCTACATGTGTGAAAAAAACTCAAATTCAAATAGGATCTCTCCTCCTTGCTTAAGGAGGGAAAATGAGAGAGGCTTTAAAATAAGTGGAAAGGAAGGCAGTGATTGCAGAGTTGTTAATGAATGTTAGCAGCGCAGCCACAGGAGTCCTAGTAATGAATAGCTGAGTTAATGGATTAGACAACAGAACCGACTTTGGCAACCTATCCCGATTCTCTGCACCATTGTACTACAAACTACTACTAATAGTAGCAGTATCTCCTCCTATCCCCAACTCCCCTAACCTAATCCCAATGGCTATGACTATGAGTATCCTTGTCAAATCTCTTTACTGTTCTTGAATATTTTTAAGGCATAGCTTCTGGTCTAGAGGGTAACAGCTTCTGCCACCACAATTTTCTCCTAAGAAGTAAGAACAATGGCAAATTGCCACCCCACCTTTTGTTAGCCTTATCCTTGAGGTGAGGGAATCGAAGGAAAAGAGAAAGGAAAGGTGGACAATTAAAGAAAATTAAATTAATTTAATTTTTTTTTTTTAAATTGAATTTTTTACTTTCAATTTTTTAATGATTAAATAAAAATTTTTAATTTAAATATATTATAAGTATATAAATATTATTATATTTTTAGTTTTAATTTAATTATTAAAAATGATTAATAATTAATAAAATAATTAATATTTATTATTTAATAAATTAAAATTTAAATATCATATAATTATAAAAAATTATAATTTAATAAAATTATAATTAAATTGGTGATCTTAACAAAAATTGTGATAACACTAATCTCAAGCAAAAACAATATGAAAAGAAGGTGTTTGGTTGAAGCTTATTTGAGAATGCTTTTAATAAGTTTTTATCTCTTGTGCCTAACAATATTTTTATGGGGGGAGATAGGGGTGGAGTAACGGAAGGGTTATTTAGAAACTGAATCAAAAAAATGAATTTGGTTTGATTTCAATAGTTTTTAGGTTATACTATTTTGATTTTGATGTTAGTCAAATAAATTTTGATTTGGTTTTGATTGAATTTTTTCACAAATCAAAAATAGAAAATGAGCCTTTTAAAATTTGTAATTTGGATAAATATGGTAAAAAATTAATTAATATTTATTTAGTAAAATTGAAACTGAACTAATATTATTAATAATCGAATTCATTAATTTGTGAAAACTTTGATGTAATTTCAATTCTCAAAATGAAAGAAAATTTTTTTTTATTATGTTAAAACCAATTTTAATTTCAACCGGAACCGATTTTTGCCCACCCTCAAAGGGAAACATGACTCTTAAGGCACATCATATAGACTCTTTTAGTGCATATAAAATGGTAGACTACTTAAAAGGGTCTCGTCAAATGTAATATCGTTTAAAGTTGTATTATTTTATTTAATTTGTTTTTAAGAAATTTTTTATTTTAATGTTAAGAGACTTATAAAAGACTTTTCAAAGTTGTTCTCTTATTATTTTATTTAACATATATTTATATTATTGGTTAAAAATAAAGAATAAAAAATTAATGTGGTTTTGGTGATGCCTTTAAACACTCAAAGGTTGTTTGATTAGAAACTAATTTATTAAAAAAATTTATTAAAAAAAAGTTAAAAATACTTTACAAAATGTTAATAAGTTTTGTCATAAAATATTATTGAAATTTTATTAAATTATTAATTTTTTTGTTTAGTAAAAAATTAATATTAAAAAATTATCAAATAGATCTAACTAAATAATGTTAGGAAGAACTTTTTTTAAATATAAATAAAAATTTGTTAGTTAAAAATTATTTTTAAAAAAATTATGATTCTCTTATTATAATATTAAAGTGTAAAAATACTCAAATAATTTTAAAAACCTAAATAAGAAGACAAAAAAAAGTGAAGGGCGCCCTTCCTTCAACATTCCCTTAATGACTAAAGTGCAAGTGGTTTTTTTTTTTTTTTTTTTGGTTTTCTGTCTAGTATTCGGGGCTTTACCTCGATTAATCCAGACCCGACCCGTGTTGTGCATCTGAAAATGATGGGTGAGTTTTCCAGCGAGGACTGCTGCGTACACAAGGTCTCGAATTCAAAATTTTGTTTAAACTAAAATAAACCACTTACCACTTGATTTAACCGCTCGTTGGTTAAGTGCAAGTGGTTATAAACAAATTTCGTAAAGGGTTGCCGTGCTTATAAACGCTTAAGATCCATATTTCTCTTTAAAATACTTTCAATTCAAGCAAAAAAAAAATAAAGTTGGTTGAACAAAAAGAGAAGCAGTAAAAAGCTTGTTTTTAACACTCTAAGAAACAGTCCCTAACAATCTTTAACCATTTGAAAAAAAAAAAAAAAAAAAAAAGGCTTTAACCACTCTTCCATGGCTACTTTAGCAATTCTCCTATTTCAAAACAATGCTCTTTATTTCCTCCAAAAAATACCCATTGTCATCGTTACCTCTACACATATTCAACCAATTTTTGGATAAATTTGACTTTTGTTCTGCATAATCTTTGTATTTGATGTTTGATTCAACGTATACTCATGTATTCCTTTGGAAAAAAAAAAAAAAAAGAAGAAAAAACCAGCAGGTATTCACATGTATGTTTAAGGATTGACGTAAAAAGATGAAAACTTTTTCATTTTGTGGGTTCTTCTAGTCCCTGGCTTTTCTTGGTTGACAAAACATTCTTACTTGGCACTCAAGTCTTTGTGTCCCTCTTTCTTAGTTTCCATAGCTTGATTTTGAGCAAATGATTGGATTTCGACTTTAAATAATCTTTTCTTCAATTCCATTCCTTTTCTTTAATCAAAACTTGTTAGTTTACTTTATCCAATTGATAGAATTGTTTATTTTATCCCTTAATTTAATGATACTTTGATTATTTCACCCAAACAGTTTCCTTTCTGCCTTCCCTCATTTGGTAGAGCAAGCAAGAAAAACTGAAAGCCTCCTTGAACCCCACACCCCCCCAAGTCATGTCCAGCTCGGCAGCCTTATCACTTGGCAGATTTTATTTTATTTTATTTTATAGTTTTTTAGTTAAATTATAGAATAATAAAACCCAAAAAAGAATTAACAAAAGGGCTTTGCTAAAACCACATTGTGTAACATATTCAATTGTGCCAAGAAAAAGGGATGGAAGGATGGATTACAGGATTGAAACCTGAGATCTGCCCAAAAAAAACAAAAAATGACCCAGGATTACAGAGTGTGGGGGGTGAAAACTTCATACAAAATTGGCTGATTAAAGCCAGAATCCTCTCTACTAAAAACAGAACCCATCATACTCTCTAGGGCTTCAAGCAAAATTGGAGTTGTCCCTTGCTAAATATGGAAGGAAAACATGTAGAAGCAGTACCACTCTTTTCTTCTCTCTTACTATCCTCTTCTAATTCTGGAGAGACATTAACTTTCTTGAAATTTTTTGAAAGCCATTTGGACTGCATGTAGGCAGCTTTTCTCCATGGAGGAATGTGGAGACCCTTTGCCTTGAGAGATTCTTTAGCAGCTGAACAGAGTAAAGGGATGATCGTCCCAAGTTTTTCTTCAGACCCAACAAATATGAGAGGAAGACAGTTGATTATCTCATTGTATGCCGCTGTAGGCCTTGGCAATTCAAACTGAGACCTGAAATCCAAATCCACTATGACCCTCTTTGCTCTCCCATCCTTCTCCACCATCATAACATCAACATACTCATAAACACCTGTAAATTGAAAAACTTCAAAGAAACAAGGAAGAAGAAAAGGAATTCATCAGTGACATGCAATTGGGAACATTTTGTTTAAGGGAAATTTTAGATTTCCATTTCACCTTTTGAGTGATTAGAATTGGAAATCCAGGAAGTTTTGCAAAGAGAAGCTTCATAGCCATCTGCTCTCAGTTTCATTACCATTAATTTCTTGAGATTTTTTTCTTGATCCTTTGAAGTTCCCAATTCCGCCACATACATTAATACCTTCCCATGAATTTCAGCTTCCTCATCCGTATACTTCCCAAGAATATCCTAGATAACCATTCAAAAGTTTGAAAAAGTCAAGAGAAAGAAAGAAAAGGTTCAAACTTTGAAGATATAAAAAGCAATTACCTGCAAACTGAGATACTGGTGTTGATGATTAAGAGAAGGGACTGAAGATGCCATGGAAATGGAGATGGGAGGCTCTAATTCAATGTAGTCTCTCACCATTTGGCTCAGGTCTTCTTCTCCCAAGCTGCCCATTGTTTTACTTGGGTTTTTCTTCTTTAGGAGGAAGGGGAATCTTCTCTTGGCCTTCTCAGAACCATCAACTGAGCTGAGGCTTCCTAAGCCATGATAGAATTTGAGGTTTGATTTATACTGATGTTGTGATGTCACAAATTAAAGGTTGGAAGAAAAGGAAAGTTAACTTAAATTGTAGTTTCTTGCTATGATGCACTATGTACCAACATATTGAGAAATTACTTGGATCTTTAAATTACATGCCATGGGATCCGTGTCATAGTCCATCCTCCCTCATTAGATTTCTTATTTTAATTTTTTTAATTATTCAATTATATCTCAAATCCTTCTCTCTTCAAGTGGATAATACCTTGTACGGTGGGTTTTTTTTTTTTTTTTTAACATATTACAATTTTCGACAAAAGAGATTTGAATCATAATCTTACAATTTGGGATGCACTTTATGATAAAGTATATAATTATCATATTACAAAATTCAAGTATTTTATATGATGTTATCGATATAGGTTAGTATTTGTATACTATATTGTAATTTATTTATTAATTAATTTGTTAAAATTTTGTAATAATAACTTAAATTTAAAAGTAACACAATATAATTTAATTAAAATAAAAAATTTTATATTGAGTCGTATGAAATGTGAATAAAATATATTAAATGATGAGAAGAAATTGTTTTTCATGCAACCAGAAATTCAAAAAAAGAAAAAACATAGAATTTAACATAAGATAAGGAAGAGACAACAAACCCTTCAATCATCCAACTTGAATCAAATTGAGTAACTTATGAGTAATTAACCATAAAATAGTTTGGAGGCTTAGTTGAAAAAATTTCAAAGATTCAATGTCTTCAAACTTCAAATAATTAACCTGGCCCAATTAATCCCAGTTTCAGACTTTTTGAGTCCATAACCCGTTTTCCCGTGGGCTGCGATTCCAATTGACAGCTCTGAATGTCCATCTCAACAAGTAGTCCACGTCAGCCACATCTCAATTGAAAAAATGACTAATGGATAATTTTTTAAAATTATTTTTAATATAATTTTATATATTATTTAAATAATTAATTTTATTTATTTATTTAAAATTTATAATATTAAATATATATTTTTTATTTAATAACATAAAAATTATATTAAACAATTATTATTATATTTATATCACTATTCCATCTCAACTACAAATCTACTGCTGACGTGGATTTCAATGGGCACATCTTCCTTGCCACGTTTGATGCTGGCGTATAGAAAAACATGCCCCAACTTTAGAGTCCACTGTTTTTGTTTGCCGCGAATTTCAACATTAGAAACATGATTAGCGCATAAATGTAGAAATTAATTATTATTAATAATTTAAATTTAAATTTTAAAAAATTAATAAAATTTGATATGAAAAATTATTAAACTAATCATAGGTTTTAACTTAGTCTTTTCAATTATATTAAAGTAATCACCTCTTATAAATATAAATTCATCCCACTTGTGATTGTCTTTCATGAAAAGGTCAAGCATTTAAATATAAAAAATTATAATATCACAAGTTTAACATTAAGATAAAAATATAAATATAATTAGCAAATAAATGAGCACAGTCAAGTTGTTTCAATTTTACAATTCAAAATTTAAAAACCTTAATAGGATGATTTTGAAGATTAAAAATTTTAAATTTAAATCTTTAATTAAGTGAAAAAAGATTTAAAAATATAAAAATGTTACCTTTTTTTTTTGTAAAACTTATAGTCTCATGTAAAAAAAAAAAAATCAAAAATTGATAAATTGCAAATATAGAAAAGACCCGGCCTTCGTTCGTTCAAGATTTCATATTTTGTAGCTGAATCTATCTTCTTCTTCTTCTTCTTTTTTTTTTTTTATTACAAGAGTAATTATTAGAAAATTAAGTTTAATTAATTGTTAGTAATGAAAGATTCGATTCTCAAATAAGATGAACATTTCACCCCTTAAATAAGTCACACAACCATCAGACTTCTTTGATGAAATTCAAAGTGATAGTAAATCACGAAACCTTGACCATTTCCACTTTAAGTTTTGAAGTGAAACTATTAAACTTAAAAGTTCGGTTTTTATAGCCGAATCTATCAAAATGATATAATTCTAAAATACTCGACTGTCACTTACGTGGCATCACAGCTCCCACCTCCAACCTTCACCTCGCGGTTGAAAGCCACGTGGAGAAAAGCAACAGCCCAGATCTTGGAAAATATCTCCGTCACTGTGACGCTAGATTTCCTTATACAGTAGAGAAGTGCGAATTTCCGTACTGCACGGCTGGTTTCTTCGTTTCTCGCCAACCGCCCAACGCAAATATCCTACTTTCCCATCATCCAAACAGAAGTTAAGGTTCCCATTCTTTCTTCAGTATATCCGACCGTCACTGTAATTTCCGGCGAATGCTCCGATGAAAGGTGAGAAAACCTAAAACTATTATCTCCTCTTTCCACATTCTTTTAAAGGATTTCAATTGATTTTTTGCGCCGTTTCTGGAATAGTTATGTTGATTGCTTCATCGTGATCGGTATTCTAGGGTTTCCTTTTTGCATTGCAATTTGGAGATAGTTTGGGGTTTGCAGAGATTTAATTTCTGTTTGGTTGCTTAGAAAAAGTGATTTGTAGAGAGGAAAACATAGTTTTAAGCTATTCTATTCGAGCAAACACTATAATTTCTCTTCATTCTAGCTGAACTTCTTGAAATTGTGCTCAAATTTTAATTTCATTAGTATATTCTAACTCTAATTTTTTCCTATATTGAGATTTACTGTTGGCTAATGTATTACACATTGTTTTTCTGGTGACTTTTATTTCCCATGTAAGGCATTCTGTGGTTATTCAGTGTGTATACTCATTTTAATTGCAGTGAAAGAAAGGTTGATTTTCTTTTTATCATACCACAATTCACGGGGGATGAGAGGTCACCTTACAAATTCTAGAGAGTGAATTGTGCTTCTGGCATGTTGGAGAAAATATGGTTGGCAAATGCAGTTTGTTGTGATCTCTAGGGGGACAAAGTCTTGTGGACTTTTGAACTCGTGTAAAGTTTGTTATTTTCTTCTGCTCGATGGGATGGAGAGGTGCTTTTTATTTTTCATTTTTTCTTCTCACCTTAGTTGAATCATCCAGCATATCAGAGAAAATATGGTTGCCAAACCTGGGTGCAGAAACAACATTATCCTTCAGTTGGCCAGTCTTCAGTGCAAGCATATTTGTCTTCCTTGCTCTTGTTCTCTCCACTTATCTTATATTTGAGCATTTAGCTTCATATAATCAACCAGAGGTATATTCAGTTGATCCTTTATCTTTCGTTTCTGTTTTAAAATATTTTATTTTACTTTACATAATCTTGTGAGGACTATATTTTTTTCCCCCTTTTAACTCTCCATCTTGGGTAATTTTTTGTACCTTGTTTCTGTTCATGTCTCTCCCCTGATTAGTTGTGGTACTTAATGTCTTATTTCAGGAGCAGAAGTTTTTGATAGGACTCATACTGATGGTTCCTGTTTATGCACTGGAATCGGTACGCATTTAGTTGGGCTCTTACTCTCCTATTTGTTGGTTAATTGCAATTATCATACTGCTGTCCATATATTTTTATACATATAATATTTGTATGTTTTGATAATTTTCTGCTTAAAAGGTAGGACCTTACACCATTTCACAAAAACTGAGTATTTTGGCATCTGATTGTGTGCAACCTTCAAAGATTAAGTTGCTAGGTGTGTGGTGAAATATCAGTAAATTTTCTATGGACTATTTCTAAACTTTGGTTTGTAATGTTTCCGGAGGCAGTTTTTATCATTGGTGGACTCAGATGCTGCATTCAACTGTGAAGTTATTCGCGATTGTTATGAAGCTTTTGCAATGTATTGCTTTGAGAGATACTTGATAGCCTGTTTAGGTATGAAAGTTAGTACTATGTTCACAAATGTGCACTACTCATTTCATCGATTCAATCTTTTGTTATATATCTCAAAGTCGTTTTTCATCTAAACTTCCACCAAGATGATCTTATTTGTGGAATGTGATTGCCTCTTCCCTTTGAAAACCCTTCAAGTTCTATGTGTCTTAAATGACCACAGCAATGATAGATCTCTTAGCATTAGTCTGTGTTGGTAATCCGTGAATTTTTTTGCTTTAACAAACTGGTTGAGTGACATCTCATGATAGAGAAGGTGCAAATTTATTGATGTGCAGGAATTTGAGGTTTGGCACTTGTCTTTCCTGTTGAAGGGAAGTTTTTGACTCTAACCATTCAGGATATCCCGGAGTATTAGGTTTTTATTGCTATAATGACTACATTAAGCTATTATGTTTGAAATGGAATCAATTAGGGCCATTTATCTTTTTATAAGTTGCTCATGTTCTGCATCAACTGCATCACTTGGGAGAGAAAATATGTCTTGAAGGGTCTGAACTCTGCAGAAAGAAAATTAGGTTGAAACATACGTCTTCCTTTTGTTTTACATAATGTCACTATTGTTTTACTGTGAAAAGGACTTTGGTTTTTTGGGTCCTAATATAAAATCCTTTTTATGGAGTACTCTATTTTGGACTCTAAATTAGTAAATTAGTGCTAAAGCTACTGCAGTTGTACATCTGTTCATGCTTAACATCACACACATACACAAATACACATTCAAATAATTTTTGTTTTCCCGTAGAAAGGAAAATTCTTCGTAATGGTTATTATATGTGTGTTCTTTCACATCCATTTTACTTGTGCAATTTATTTATTTATTTTTTTCCAGTTCATTTGTGTGTGTTTTCCAATTGGGGATGGCTACCTCTATTCCCAAATCCCTCTCTTGGGTCTCTACTCTCTACCTAACTGTTTTTTTAAGTATATTTTTGATAGTCTTAATTATGGACAAGCTTTTGCGCTAATGATCTGGTTCTTTTGTTCATTCACTTCTAATTTGACTTGTCCAATTAAATGTTGCCTGAAGGTGGGGAGGAACAGACTATTGAATTCATGGAAAGCCAGACCATAATCACTTCCCAGACTCCTCTTTTAGAATATGCATATGCTTATGGCGTTGTTGAACATCCTTTTCCATTGAACTGCTTTCTGAGAGATTGGAATCTTGGTTCTGAATTCTATAATGCTGTAAAGATTGGCATTGTTCAGTATGTATGTACTAAGTGCTTAATATTTAAGAGCTTCTGTCTGATTGTTAGCCTTTTTTGGAATTTGTCTTTTAGTTGCTTAATGAAAACATTTCATTTTTCAGATGATACTGAAGATGATATGTGCACTACTGGCTATGATCCTGCAATTGTTTGGAGTTTATGGAGAAGGGAAGTTTGAATGGAGATATGGGTAATTCATTTGTGTCTCTTTATTAGAGTTATGAAAAATCACATATGTATGACCCTGACCTCATCATTCCTTTTTATCAAAACTCCCTTACTGGCAGGTACCCATACTTGGCTGTTGTTCTTAATTTTAGTCAGAGCTGGGCACTATACTGTCTTGTTCAGTTCTATTCTGTCACTAAAGAGAAGTTGGAGCCAATCAAACCATTGGCTAAATTTCTGACATTCAAGTCAATTATATTCTTGACCTGGTGGCAAGGTATAGCTGTTGCATTTCTCTTTTCCATGGGAGTTTTTAAGGGTTCTTTGGCTCAGGAGTTGAAAACACGTATACAAGATTACATCATCTGTATTGAGGTGAGTAACTAACTACACAAGACATTGACATTGAAAAAAAAAAAAGGGTCTATATAAGACATAAGTGTTAATGAATGGCTGTGAAGATGTCTACATGTTTCTTGCTGCTAAAAGATGTAGAGATGAAATTAAAGATGATGCCCCAGTCTCAGCTTTTATAGTAATTAGTGAGCTGAAGTGTAAGATATCTGCTACTGTATGTGTTGTAACAGGAAAATGCTTTACCATTTTTTTTTTCCGTTTCCTATGGTTCTTTTTGAAATCTCTTCATTACGGGCCAAAATTTAAACCTGTGCTCTTCTGCTTGTCAAACAGATGGGTGTTGCTGCTGTTGTGCATCTTTATGTCTTCCCTGCTGTACCTTACAAACGTGGAGAAAGATGTGTCCGTAATGTGGCTGTAATGAATGACTATGCATCTTTAGGAACACCACTAGATCCAGAAGAGGTTAAGGACTGTGAAAGATCTACCAAATTATGTGTGGGTCGAATTGATGAGAGTGAAAAGCGTCTAAACTTTCCCCAGAGTGTTCATGATGTTGTCTTTGGGAGTGGTGAAATAGTAAGACTCTAGCCCTCGTTTTTCTAATTTCATTCATGGATTTTTAGGTTGGCATGTTGAAACCTATATTAGTTATTGCTTGATTTGGTGACTTCCGTTTTTCTATTTCTAGATTGTTGATGACATGAAGTATACGGTTTCACATGTTGTTGAACCAGTCGAAAAGGGAATTGCAAAAATAAATAAAACTTTCCATCAGATATCTGAAAATGTGAAACGCCATCAGGAATCAATGAGGAGATCTAAAGATGACAATTATCTCATTCCCTTGAGTTCATGGACAGGGGAATTTTCGGATGCTCATGATAATCTTCCTGGAGGCAGTGTTAGTGACAGTGGTTTGCACAGTGTACAGAGACTGCAAGTCCAATCCAAAAATGCAGTATCCAGGACTAAGATGGGCAGATAACATCTGTAGTTATTTACAAAAGCCATATCAAAATGATCTTAACAAGGTTAACATACTAGGTAAGTGTATGCTAACTTCATCATTCCTAGACATTTTTCTTTCTCTTCCCCCTTATGCAGAGTTGTGATGGTAACCTGTTTTTATCGATCGGCGAGAACTTGTGCAGGAGATCTTGCTGCTTTCTTCTAACTTCAGAAATGTATAGAAAAAATTGTGATGAAACCGGCAAATAATCTGGTCAAAGCTCAGCTGCTGAGTCTGGCAAATGTACAAAATTTAGTTTCCACAGGTGCAAACTGTGCTTGTTATACATGTTCTCATTGTGAAACTAAAGCCATTTAGCCTGCATTTGGAAGCTGGCTAGATTTTCTCTCCATTTTGGTATATTAAAATGAATCAATCAAAATGTTTTACAATTCCACCAGCTAATATTTATGATTGAAATTTTTTTTTACTCAGTTGGATGCATAAATCAAAATGCATCAGCTCAAAATATGATTTCATGTGGTTATTGTAAACTTTTGTTAGAAGATTAGATTGTCTCCATCAACTCTGTGCTTATTATTTTCTCCATTGAATGGATTTGCCTATCGGTCGGGCCATCGCTGGCGTGATCCAGTAAAAGATTATGTTGGTTGGCTGGTAGGAGTAAAAGATTAGTAGGAAGATTATACTTATCATTCAATTACTCAACCATAGCTAGAGTTTCATAAGGAATTTTTTTTTTTTAATATAGGGGAACTTAGCTGTTTGATTGACATTGTGGGGGTCTGAACTCTTGATATAGACCTTAAATTAAAAATTTTAAATTAGTGAGTTAGAATCTAATCAAGCTCTTATATGAGAATTAAGAAAGATCCAATACATTGCTACTAGGGATCTTTTATGAACTTATGATGTCCCTTCCTTGTAGCATATGGGGGTAAAAGTGAAAGAGATTAGGGGTTCGAGTTTGACTCTATCTATATAAAGCCAAAACTTCACCTTCCCTTTATCCTCGTCTCTTGTTTCCTCTGTCTAGCCGAGGTTCTGTTGATTGTGTTTCAATTTTATTTGAAGATATTTTTTTGGTGCTTACTTTGTGATGATATGTCGGAGTGTGGCGTGTGGGGCAGTGATGAGGTATTAGACAAAGTCATGCACCGCTCTTAGTAGATTATGGGCTGATAAATCTCTCCACTCTCACATCCATTTTCACTCTGAGCCTCTTCTTCCTCTTGTCATTCATTTTCATTCATTTTTTTTTTAAGGGAACCAATGATGGATTGATCTTCTTTAACAAGGAGATCAACCATGATGCGGAGTTGCGAACCGCACAGCACTTTGCTTATTTTTTTTTACTAACCTCCTGTTATCTGGTAACTACTTTGGATCTCGATTAATTTGAAATTGAGTCGCGTCAAACCTTTTTAGAGGAGAAACTCTCTCAGCGTTTGTTTCTTCGCTTACAAGATCCGAATTTGAAACCTTATTTAAAGAGAATCGAGTCTTATTTAAAGAGAATTGAGTCTTATTTAAAAAAAATGGAGTTTTTTCCACTCGAATTAACAGGTCGTTGGTGACCACTCTTTGCTTATAGTGATAACTCGTTGGTTTCAAACGGTTCCTCTTTCCTTTGCTTTTAGAATTGTAATTCCCCAATTATATGTTTACTCAACTTATTCATTCTTAAGACAAAACTTTACAAACACAAACGTAAATTCATAACTAAATTCTTTTAATTTGTAGAGTGGTAAAACTTTCTCTAGTTTCATTTTTGTGAAAAAAATTCAAATGCAAAGAGATATAGCTAAGGCTTAAGTTTGTATTGCTGTCTTTTGCTGCAGTCTGCTGCAGCGTAGGTTTTTTTTTTTTTTTTTGTTATCTTTTACTATTTCTAAAAAATATTAAGAATTAATTAAAATTAATTAAGAATTATAAATTTATAATTTTAAATAGAATGGTGGGTAAAAATAATGACCCAAATAATATTTATGATAATGATTAACTATAATGATTTGAGTTTTAAAAATATAAATACAGGCATAATATGTTATGAATAAATTGATTTCTAATAATGATTAACAAACTTTTACCAATTTAATCCCTTTTTTGTTAACTGGTAGGGTACCTAATTTGTGAAATTGTAAAATTTGCCAGAGTATTTACATTGTTTGAATTGAGGAAGTTGGAGGAGAAGGAGAGGAAAGTGAGGGGGAAAGAGCAGTTTCTCTTGTTTCAATAAATAATTTTAATGGAGGGGAAAGAGATGGAGGGAGACGGAGTTCCCTCCCCTCCTTTG